CAATTTCCACATGAGAGAAGGATGATCTGGTTGTTCAAGAAATCTCTGCACATGGCTGCTCAGTGTTCAGCCTTTGTCCTGTCGAATACTGGTCACCTGCTCGTGTGGCTGAAACACCATGGCATGTAATCTCCTCTTGATAACTTCCATCTCGCTGGGAAAAAGCCCATATCTGATGTGCATCACATTGATTAATGAGCTGTTTTCACTAATGAACTCCATTCCCAGCAATGTGGTGCTAGTCCGTAAAACATCCTTATTGATGAAGGAACCCCACGTCGTGGCCTCCTCTACCTGTTGAGCTTTCAATTCTGAGTTTCCACCAAGAATGTGTGCAGGCCCGCTGATGGCTCAGTGACTAAGTCCTCACCTTGCATGCATCGGGGTCCCATATGGGCGCCAGTTCGTGTCTCAGCTGCTTCACTTCCCATCCAGCTCCCTGCTTGTGGCCCGGGAAGGCAGAGGAGGATGGGCCAAAGCCTTGGGACCTAGCACCTGTGTGGGAGACCCAGAGGAAGCTCCTGGATCCTAGCTTCAGATCAGCTCAGCTCCAGGGGTAGTGAACCAGCAGATGAAAGATCTTTCTCTCTGTATCTCCTTCTGCAATAGTCTAACTTTCCAATACCTTGCTCATCTCTCCTGGAGTGTATGAGTCACCCACTGGCAGCACCTGCCTCAGGAACTACCACTTATACAGAATGTGACAGTGTCTGCCATGCCAGCTTCTCCCCACAAGCTGTTGTCCTCAGTGCGGTCCCCTTCATCCACCATGTGTCCAGACTGGGCTGAGTCAGACATGCAGGGCAGGGCATGACCCTTGCTTGTCAGTGTTTGCAAGTAAGGGCAGGAGTGATGGAGAAGTAGCCAATGGAAAGGTGACTCCTATTATAAATGCTGTAAAGGAATGTCAGGACATTTCATTAAATGTATGAGAAATGTTTTGTCAGTCTGCTTTCTGTTCATCCTAAAGCACAAGGGTGTATTTCGGCTTGATGTCCTGGAGGTGGCCTGCTTGCTGACAGATTCCGGGGGCGCCATGAAGTGTCTCATGGTGAGCCTGGGAGCCAGAGCAGGTGTGTCCTCATCCTGCTCCCATTCTTAGGGAACTCCCAGTGTCTTGTCACGGGGACTGCATCATGTTGGCACTATCTAATCTCTTTACACCGCAGTTAGGTGAGGCCTCACAGTGGAGATTCAACTCCAGTGTCAGGGTCAAATGTTTCAGAGATGAACCATGCCCAATGCATGGTGGGGACCTGGATGGAGGGCATGACAGCTGAAAGCCCTTTTGGAATGTGGGTGATGGGTCATGCCAACACATGGTCCTGTGGTGATTTAAAGGGTCAAGATGGAGAGCTGGGTCTCTGCCAGTGTGGTTCCTATTATGCCGTTGTCCTAATACACTCTGAATTATGAAATTAAACCAGAAAACCAATGAAGTAGACATAGTTTAAAATCATCTCTCCTCAAGTTACAGAAGGAAGCTTGTAAAGTTCTCTCGAGTTAATCTAGCATTTAATTTTGCTAAGTACCACGGTCTACCAAAGTTAAAGGAGAACTTCTGGAAACTTTCTGAAAAACTACCGCCCAGTTGCTTTCTAGTTTAATTTATGTAAATGTATGTATTCCAACCACCTCTTCATTCATTGTTGGATTTATTGTTTCTTTAGCTTCAAAAACCATCCATCTTTCCCTCTGTTTTCTTATTTCAACAGAATAGCAGAGAGACCCCACAGTAGCAGAGTACATATTCAATTGGCCAGTTCAAGGAAATTATTGACTGTGAAAATGCCAAAACAAGTGTTAGCACAGTTTCTGGAACTTGCTGGGGACGGCAGGGTAAACGCCGCCTTGATCCGGTCCTGTGGGCTTGGATTTGGGTTTCAGAGGTGGAAGGAAGAAGTCTGCTGAGAGTGCATTTTGTAACTCATCAGTTGTCAGCCTGCGTAAGGCTCTAGTTAGCGGACTCTAGCTGAGCATCCTTGCTGGTCAGGCTGCTAAGGCGCCGCCAGTGTGCTGGGTGAATCGGGCATCGCCGACACCGGTGAACCACACACTGCAAAGCCCTCTGGGGAGCTTTGAGCGTAGTTCTTTGTTTATTAATGCCACTTGGCAAGGACTCCTTTTTTTACTAAAGGTCTGGCATTCAGCAAATGGGCTGCATGACTGCTTTAATGTTTGTGTTAATTGCTTCTTTTTCACAGTCATCACTTTCTGCAATTTTTCAGTGTAATATTCTATTTTATGAGGGTGTAAGTGTGGGACTCTGGCCCCGTTGATCATTTGTCAGATTGGTTTGATGTCAGCATATGGTTTTGGCACCTCAGTTGAGGTCCCGCTGCTGTGGCTGCCCCAAGTGCCTCAGGGTGACACTAGTGTGTGGGTCTATTGTAGACTTTCTATTTCATTGTGAACGATTAATCCCACAGCTTATTGTCTGTAGGTCTCAGGTTATTACACCATTCAGAATAAAAGGTGCTATGGCTCTGTGGATTATTTTGGAATTATTGCCAATTTGGATCCTTGTAGTCTTTGGGTTCATGGAGAACCCTTGGAAAACTGGACTGGCCCCTCTTCCATCCCCTCCCCTCCCTGCCCCCACCTTGAATTAGCAATTGAACAGGACATTCATAGGAACTCTGTCGTTTTACGTGAGCACCTCCCCTCATGGCACAGAGCCATGTCCTATGCCTTGTCCTTGGTGAAGGAACACTCGGTGACCGCCAAGCAACGACTGTGACGTCACTGAGTTCCAGTCTCCCAGAAGCCCCAAGGCTGGGAGGGCATCGTCATGCCCAGATGTTTGCGCTGCAATGACTTACCTCCGAATCTGTGTGGGAAGGTGAGGTTTCCATGTGCACAGTATGTTATGTTCATGATGCCAGTTTTATAGGTGTTGACTGGTAAGATGTTCTTGTAAAATTGCCTTCCAGTTCTTTCTTAAAGCCATGAATCTTCATGGTGGTAAATACATGTGTATTTCATTTTGAGTCTAGCTACAACACTGAGTTGAGACATCAGGATGTTGGAGTGTTGGCTTTAAAGACCGGGTTCTTTGTTTGCTTTGTTTTGCTTGTTCCCGGGATGCTCCAGTTTTCCATAATGACCCACTTAAACACACCATGTCACGTTTTCCAGACCATCATGGTGTGTGAAAACTAGCATACATTTCTTCTAGGAATAGCAAATAGGAAGCAGGTATATTCTTTATTTTCCTAAGAAATGATTCTACCACAGCAATAAATAATGTTACAATCTGTTTCCCTTTCTTCATCGATGGTGCTTCTGTACATCTGTTGGAAAGTTTTACCAGGAAGTTTATTCCCTGGCAGTTGGTTGCTGCTTTTTCTTAAGTTGGATGTGACTATGCGTCCTCAGCAGCCATTAGCCGGCCGGTGTGCTCCAGGCTTATTGAGGCCTCAGGATTCATGCTGTGTGACTCTTCGGCCCAGCATCACATTAACTGTTTCAGAGCACTGTGCCATTAAAGTGTTGTGGCCATGCTTCTTGCTCTGTTTTCCTTGAACTATTGATTGGATTTGCAGCCAGGCTGAGATAGTCGTGTTAGCCTATGGCTTCGTGTTCTCAGCTCTTTGCTGCCTGTCTTTGCGTGTGCGCGTTTGACCTTTTGGCATGTTGCTTTAAATTTTTTCTAAAGAATATATATTAGGAAAGTAAAAAATTATGTACACCCTTAGGTTGTAATCAGCTCTTCAGAACTTAAATGTGACGGTTTTTCTAGGGCGCTCAGTAGGGCTAAGCAATATATTGGTTGTGTTGAATTTTCTAGGTGTTTTCTAAATAGCTATCATGGAACAACTATTACGATTTCTTTGCTTTTCAGTACTATTCTAGCTCATGCTAGAAGCAAAGGAAACTTTTTTTTACAAGTGTTTTTAGAATGGTAAGTCATGTCCTGTATTGAATGGGAAAGACAGCCAGCCGGTAGGTAAAATTATTTTCATGCTGCCCATAACTGTTTAATATGTTTTTACAAAAAAAAAATAGAATTGTTAAGATGATAATTCAGTAGTCCACCATTTTATATACTGTGTTGGATGTCCATTTCAGTCAGGTATAAAGCATGTAATGCTAATGGTTGATGTTTCTGTAGATGTAGAAATAATACTCATTCCTTTAGACGACAGTGCATCTTCTAACGGCCGACTGCGTCTGCCCCCTGCCCCGCCATTCCTCATGTCTCAGTAACCATTGTCAACTGTGTCCCTTTCCTCCGAGTAACGTCCCCCACCCCCAATTTGTCATCCAAAAATCGCAACTTATTGATGATCCTTGGTGGCTTGTCTCTTTCCTCATGATTTGAGTCTTGAGAATATATTATAGGGCCCGGAACTTTAGCCTAGCAGCTAAAGTCTTTGCCTTGCTCCCGCTGGGATCCCATATGGGTGCCAGTTCTAATCCCGGCAGCTCCACTTCCCGTCCAACTCCCTGCTTGTGGCCTGGGAAAGCAGTCGAGGACAGCCCAGAGCCTTGGGACCCTGCACCCGCACGGGAGGCCTGGAAGAGGATCCTAGTGGCCGCAAAGGTCGGAGCTGTGCCTTTCTGAAGCCAGGAGCCTGGAGCTTCCTCTGCGTCTCTCACACTTTGTTTCGTGGAGGCTCTTCCATTACCTTGGTTCTCCATCTGCTGTGTTTGTGTCCTGGGTGTAAGTGTCGAGCCTTGGGGGACCTTTGCTCGTGTCCCTGGGCGACCGGAGTGATTGAGTTGTGTCGAGGACACAGTGCCAGGACTGCGTGCAGGCGGGTTGCAGCTGGCTCTTTGTGTATTCCAAGCTTCCCTGGAGTCTGTGGCTCCAACTGCGCGGGAGTCGGGCATCTCTCCCCACCCCGCCCCATTACCGTAGCCTTGCTTGCAGGTTTCGGATGGGATCTGTCAGATGTCTCTGGGATACTAGATCAGTGCTTACTAAATCACTACTGAACTTATTACTTAAATATTAAATCACTACTTAACTTTTTTTTTTTTTTAACATGCTGCAGGATATTGAAGACAAAGTAAGTAACAACACAACCTAAAATGTAGAAATAGATTGGCCGTCAGCTGAGTAGCTGCATGGACCCTCGCCTGATGTGTGCTGAGCCAGCCACTGTGTGATGGCTTAGGAAGGGTATTCTTAATGTGGACTCAGAGTGCACAAGAGGTGGCTGCTTTCCTTGGCGGACACCTGCATCCCATGTCCAGGGTGCTTCTGCTGCATCCAGTTCCCTGCTGATGCTCTGGAAGGGCAACGGCACGTGGCCTGAGTCCTTGGCCCCTGACACCTGGGGTGATGAAGACCTGGGTGGAATTCCTGGCCCCCGTCTTCGGCCTAGGTTAGCCCCACCTCTTGGTGACCATTTGAGGAATGAACCCGTTCATATAAGTGAATCTTTAAAATTGGTGACATTAGTGCATGGCACAAAGATAAATGTGCTTGATTTCATGTAAATTACAGCCATGCGTATATTCAGCACTGACTGAACAGAGAAAACAAATGAAATGGTTTTGTGACTCTGAACATCAGAGATAAAATTCAGTTGAACATGCCATTCCACATACAAAATAGTGCAAGTTTTATGAATATAGTTATGAATCTTGAAAATCTTTCCTAAATAACCATCTTTGTAATTTTTTAAGTTTCTAAAATATTTTGGTACTTACTTCTAATTTATAAAGAATTGATCTTGTAGATTAGAAATGTCATTCAATAAAGCTTTTTGAATCATCTTTATTTACTCTTTAAATTATTGAAGCCGACAGTTAGGGTGGTTTAGACCCTCCCCCTTCCTTTAGACTGTTGCTGCTTGAAGAGAACTAAACAAATGCAGGTCACTATGGCAGATTTCATTGGGTAATTTGAGACATCACAAACAAAGGGTTTATGTGAAAAATGTGAAATCAGCGTTTTTGTTGTGGACAAACACGTTTAATAGCCATGTTAGCATATGCCCAGAATAAAATCGAATTTCTGTTGTGTGAAGTATCAATACTGGAAGTTGTTCTTAGGAAAGTTCAGTACGACACTGTCACGTGTTGGGCAGAGTAGGGCACAGCTGTGATAGTGGCGGGAAAATACAATGCAGCTTCATTTCTTTGTATTAAGTAGAGCAGTCGTCGTATTCATGTTTTCCCTGCCAGAGACGTGGTCCGTCTGCATTGAGCTTTCTGTCTCACTCGCTGTGCAGTGTCGACCTCACTCACTCATCTCGTGGCTTCCTCCTTTCTGTCTTTAGGCTAAGCAGCTGGAAGAGAAGGACCGCGTGATCAAGAAGCAGGATGCGTTCTACAAAGAGCAGCTGGCCCGACTGGAGGAAAGGGTATGGCTGTCCTCTTATCATTCCTGCGCTCTCCTGTGCATTTGTTTATGGATAATAAATCACAACTCTGATTGTTCTTGTGAAGCTAGGCTGTGCTGAAGCCAAGCGAAGGAGTTTATAGGCTCAAGACTGCATTTCTGCTTTGGTCATGGTCATTACTGGGTCATGCATGCCGTTTCACTGTTCAGTATTGCCCAAAGTTTTGTCTTTGTGACTAGTATGTCCAAACTACATTTCCTCCAGAGCAGTTCATTGCTGTTCATAACTTCCCCCCAAAGATCGATATAACTTCCGACATTCTTAAAAACGATATAGTTTTAATGGCTTTACAAGTATCGTCATTGTGAAACCTCAGCTTCTCTGCCTTTGTGAGTCAGAAGTGAATGTCTCTGCTTAAGCATCCAATCGTGTGTTGGAGGTTGAAGAACATGGACTGGACATCTGTGCTCATGGCATTTGGAGTGCTAGGTTGTGATGATATGGGGTACAATAAGGGGCAGGGACAAGACATTGCCAGGGCGGAGGGTGCATGGTTGTGGCAAGGTTGAAGGGCTCCTTGAGGAGTGGCCCTGATCAGGCCTGGCCTGGTTGACCAGCAAATTCCTCAGAGCCTTGAAGGCCACTTGGCCTGTTCGAAAGTGCCATCTGACTGCAGCATTGAAGCAAGGGGAACTTAGTGGCAGATTATGGCACTGATTCAGAAAGCTGTGACCGCTCTGTGGGTAAGCAGTGTGGGGGATGGTTCAGACATAGCCTCCAGACCTCTCGATGGTGAAGGTGGACGAGAGACCCAAAGGGACGCAAGTCCCTGCCATGCAGAACACTGTTGATTCCTGACATAGGATGCGAGTGGGGGAGGAAATCAGAGGTCTGAATTGGGATGTAAATTTTGAACACTTGAGATGTGCAAGTAGAGATGTTGGATAGGCAGACCATCAGTAAAATGGTTAACAAAAGCGGTCAGCAGGGTTTGTTGTTTTTTGATTGTTTTCCCCTCTGTAAAGGGCCAGGTGTGGCCCATGCCTGAGCGACTAGACACTCCTTTTGGGATGAGAGCAGGCAGTTTTAATGTGTAAGTGATGGATGGTGGTTCGCTAATGTAAAGACAGCAGACCTGGAACTTGTGCAGCATGTCGGCGTGTTGTGTTTTGTCTGTGTAGCTGTGGTGTCAGGGTGCTCTGTTCCTGCGTCACCTTCATGGGTTAGACGACTACAGACAAGTCCCTGAAGGAGTGTCGTGCTTACTGTAGGACCCAGCGTACTAACACTCGTACTTACTCTGTATTATTCAACGTCTCACGTCTCCTGCCTCTCTGTAAGTCTCCTTTTGTGTGTTACTGTCACTTCTAAAATCACTAAGCCAATTTTTTTTTCCTGTTGGATTTTTTCCAGGGATGGAAGAGACATGTAAGTCACAAATGAGGAGGCATTTTCTAGGCTTAGTGCAAAAGATTGCGAAAGAATTTCTTCTCATCTTCTGATGCCAGTGGGAAGCGCGATGTCTGGTCGTGTGTGGTGTCTGCACAGTTTGAAAGGTTAGGGTCCACAGTGTAAGATAGCACGATGCAGAATTGTCTGTCTTCCTATCTTGACGGGGTTGTCCCAGTTGAAAAGGGGATCTGTGCACACACGTCTCTCTTGGTTCAGTCAAAGGCAGCAGTGAAGCTGTAAACCCCAGGCGCTCTGTCCTTTGTGGCTAGAGGGCCATTGCTGGAGGGTTTAGCTCTGTCATCTCGTCCTGGATCATTATAGGTTTGTCCTGGTCGGTCACAGAATCCCCAGGTAGGCATGTGGCTTTGCCATGCCAGTTAGTGATAGTGGCCAGTCAAGTGGGAATCGGAGGTAGTTTTTTATTTTAATAACTTAGAAGAATGAAGTATAATTTAAGGGATGCCAGTCTGGTCTTCCTTAGAACCAGTATTCAAAAGCAACAACCCTTGACTGAGCACCAAGCCAGCTGAACAGCTTTTCAGATCCAAACCTTTACTCCACAATTGATCGAGTATCAGATAGCATCATCATAAACAGGAAAGTAAGCTGTTATATTTTAGAATGACTGGAGGTGTCACATTTAGGTGTGTGACTTACTGCTCAGCTACTTGGAGAGTGCTTATTCCTGGGTTTGGAAGAGACCTGGAGACCCCACGTAAGAGACCGACCCCAGGGATGTTCATTGCTGCTTGGGGGCTTGGTGGGAGAAGACCTCTCAGTGCTTCTACGTAGTTTTCTGTAAACACATCCAGGAATTCTTTTTTACTTTTTCCATTTTTTCTGTGTAATCAGCATATAAATTTTAACCCTTTCTCTGCTATTATTTATGGTCCCACATTTTATTTATAGTAAATTGTGATGCATTTGGGCATTTTATCTTCTAACCTTTTGGAGGGCAGGGTCCATCCTGTTCCTTTTCCAAGACGTACACACAGTAGGGGTGCAGCAGCTGCTCTCGGCCTGGCTGAGCCTCTACCATCAGTTCATTCTACTCCAGGATGTCTCGTGTCTCTTTATTAGTCGTTTAGTTTACGCCCATGAGGAAGTCCAGTTTAGTTGTGAATAATCTGATATTATTTATAGCAGCATTTTGGTCACTAATGAGCGTTCATGCTGTGTTAGGCACTTCCCATGAGTTAGCTCAGGGTCGTCTGTGACCCCGTGAGTCTGTCCACTCTTTAGGTGAAAATACCAAGCAAGAAATCAGAACAACCAAAACATTACAGGTGTCAGTCTGCACCAGGCGCGCGCCCTGAGCTTGTGGCCACTATTCAGTGTTAACATGAAGTGGGTACGTCTGTAGGAAGGCTAGGTCCTACTGATTGTAGCATTAATTCTGTGGGAAGTAAGTTATTCTGGCTTCTCGTGCAACTTTTTAAGTCCTGATGTCATAATTCATGAGATCTTATAACCTGAAAATACTAAACATTCAAAAATATGTAACTATCCCCTGCCCTCCCCTTCCCAAAAGCAGAATGTTTGTTTCCTGGGGACCCTTCACAAAAGGAGCTACCTCACGCCTGTAGTATAATAACCCTAAGATTTATTTGAATACCTGGTTATACTTCTTTCCATTTGCAATGATTCCAGCAGCTACTGAATTGTTTTTGATAACTTAGACTTTGATAACCTTGCTAAAGGATAGTCATCTCATTCCATCTTCTAGAAAGAAAACCAGCTTTCTTTTACTTTTAGTATACTCTGGGCTGATTTCGTTAGGGCCTGAGTTGTATGTGTAGTTACTTCAGGAGGAGGGAGGAAGAGCCTGCGGGGCTTTCCCCGGATCACCCGGGGGTGAAGGCCACTCTTTCCTCAGGCCGCACCAAGACCTGGTCTCTTCGATGCTTGGTCAGTGTGCCTTGTGAGGGTTGATTTGCTCTTGTCTTGTGTTGCTCAGCCATGAAGGGAGGCATGATCGCCCTGATGGCGCCAGAGCAGAGCCCAGGGTGCGCCCAGTGCTTGTTTGGGAGTACCGCTGTGTCCACATCAACCCAGGCCTACAGTGCACATCGCCATCAATGTGCGGAGTCCCCTGGCTTCCACACTGCGATGAATCCCGCAGGGTTCAAAGAAGGGCAATGCCCAGGCTGGGGAAGAGAGGGCTGCGAGAGCAACGCTGAGGAGCATTGCTGGTCAGTAACCTCTGGGGAGATTTACTGATGAAGTTTGGAGGCCATGCTTACATCAAATGAGCAGAGTCGTTCACTTCCGGTGAGTGTTCTGTCTTCTGTTGCATTATCAAGTGTTGGCCTCATCTGGATGACTAATTGACTTTTTCGTTTCTTTGTCAATTAGTATCTTTGTTTTGGTGTTCTTTGTGCAAGGCTTGGGAAGAAATACCACCAGCCACGATGACAAAGAGAAAATGACAACAAAACAGCTTATTGTCAGTCCAGTGTATTCTTAGGGAGAAATTATTATAAATTTTTATTATAGCTGGAGTCTTTTGTGATAAAATATTTCAGTAAATGAAAGCTTTTCAGGAGATGAATGTAGGATAGAATCACAAACTGCTGAAGTCTGAGATGAATAAAATGCAAGCAATTCTTTTGGAAGAAAAAGGAAATAATGAACTTCGTTTATCAAGTGAAATGCCCCTTTGGTATTTCCTTCCTGAGGTGCTGTCTAAATAGCTGTCCCTTTTAGGTCGTGTGGGCAGCTCCTCCGGCCATTCCGTGTGAGGCAGCAACTGTAGCACAATGGTTGAAAGCGCGCCTTGCTGGTGTGCCCACGCGGGTTATACTCGTCTGCACTCGTCACGCTCGGGGTGGTGTCCGTCCTTTGAGCGTGTTGCAGTCGGGGCAGCTTCCCTGTGGTTTCCGTAGTTACCGAGCACCGCACGCAGAGCTGAGCTTCTCTGGACCGCGAGTTGGGGCACTGAAGGCAGCAGGTGCGAGTGTCGCTTGCAATTGTAATGTCATTGCAAGAGGCACAGGCTTTTGTAAAGGGACTTGGGGCATGTCCATCGAGTGACTCCCAATTTCTTATCATTAGCAGCTAATGATAGTTCACATAAATGCATAGATGTTAATTGTTAGGTAGAAAAATTTATAAGGCCTACTCTCACTTTTATTAATATAATTGACATAGCAATGTATGATTTAGGTGGAAAGACTGATTCACTTTCCACTTTTTTTTTAAGGTTTATTATTTGAAAGTTGGGCTATAGAGAGGGAGACCAAAAAGATCTTTTGTCCTCTGGTTCATTTTCTGTATGCTCTCAATAACCAGTGCAGGCCCAGGCCTAAGGCAGGAACTAGGAGCTTCTTCCAGGCCTCCCATGTGGAAGCAGGGGCCCTCCTCTGATGTTTGTCTCAGGCCATTAGCTGAGATCTGGATCATACGTGGTGCAGCTGGGATTCAAACTTGAGCCCTTATGCAATGCTGGTTCCCCAGAGGGCAGTTTTACCCACTGTGCCACTAGGCTGCTTTCTTAAAGTCTACTCAGATATTCCAGAAGTAATGAGCAAGAAGGGCTATACAACCCTTCTGCCCCATTTCATTCTCTA